CTGCTATTTTCATTAGTAATGTTTTATTCATGTAGACTTCTTGAAAATTATTATTCACTGAATTGCAGAAAATTTTCTGAGGGGTAATAGAAGTTGGGACTTGATGAAATAGCGATTACATTCGTTTAATGAAAGTGGAGATTCTCTAACAGTGCAAGAAAATTCAACTATATCAACTGAGAAAAATTACCAAAATGGTTAAGGCTACCGCAGCCGAGGTTATCAGTGTCTGTTTCTAAGGTTTGACGGTCATCGATTTTTGGAATTTCTTCCTGACATTTCACTGACACGAGTGGCTACCTTCCTCAGAGATTTATATACCCTGAATCAACCTCCGATGATACCCTGAATAATCACCTCAACAATAATGGATTATATATAATTGCATATGCAGATGACATAGTTATCTTGCAGACCGGCAAATTCGTGAACACACTGTGCGATAGAATGCAGGATGAGCTCAAATTAATAGAAACGTGGTGTAAGGAACACTCACTGTCGATTAATCCCTGAGATGGTTCACCAGGAAAAGAAGTTTATTGGGCCCAAACCTCATCGAAAGCTTCAAAAGCAAACTTAACTCCTATGAAGAGGGGAAATACATTGGTACTACCCTCGACAGAAAGCTAACATGAAAGTTCCACCCACAGAGTACAGCAAAAAGATCATATCTGGCTTATGAGTAAAGTCAGAGGACAGTGGGACGCACATGGGGTCTTTCACCCCGTCTGGTCACCTGGATGTACACTGCAATTATAAGACCTATGTTAACGTACGGAGCCATTGCATGGGGACCGAAAGTTCTTCAAGCAACGGTCATCCAAAAATTGAATCAAACACAGCGATTGGCTTGTTTAAATATCACAGAAGCCAGGAGTTAATTACTGGTCTGACCCTTTTGGACCTGTGTGTTAAGGAGTTTGCGTTAATGGCCATGGTACGATTGCGCACGGCTGATGTAAACTTCGAAGTAGGAATGGGTCAATTGAGGCTAAGCCTATGGCGAGAAGCTCTTACGGTGTATTTTCTGCTGCAGACAGCCAATGATTTGTGTTTGTGTTTAATGAACCCTACAAAATACAAATGAAACAGAACACTGCTCAAAAACCAAAGGAGGCTCAGGATGTGGAGTATACTCCAGATCACCGAGCCTGAGGATTAAATGGGCAATGGGAAAAAATACCAGCGTGGTTCAAACATAACTAGATGGTAACTCAATAGTTACAAGCAAAATAACCAGGAAAGAAATTTCTGGCAAAAACATAACAATATGTACTGATAGTAGACAAGTCCTATTAGCCTTGAACAGACAACATGTTACCTCAAGGCTAGTACCAGAGTGACACCAAGATTTGGCCAAAGCCTCGGTAGATACTAACATTAACCTGAGATCGGTCAAAGGGCACGACAGGACTGAAGGTAATCGGTTTGCCGACTCTTTATCAAAGGAAGCAGCTGGAGTAAGAATTTTAGGACCCAGTGACACCTACGGCCTGATGACTTCGACAATTGCGCAACTAGCCAAACTTCACACCTATGCTCAATTCCTGAAGATATGGAATTGAATCAAAGGATACAGTCTTGCTAGGATCACCCTGGTGACCCTGGGAGGCTGGAGGCGAAGAAATATCTGGCGACGACCAGGAAAAACCTACTCTCTACAGTAGGATTTCTGACTGACCACTGTCAAGTAAGAAAACACCTCCATATTATGAGGCTAGTGGACACACCTCTATGCAGAATGTGTGAACAGGAAGATGAAACTGTCAGGCATGGCTTATGCGAGTGTCCAAATTGTGTCTTAGGCGAATCTTGGCCTACACCTGCTGATATAAAGAAGATGTTACCTAGTGACCTGTCCAACTTCCTGGAAAAAACAGGGTGGACGATGACCTAGGAGGACAACTCTTCGGGAGGATGTACAATGGGGCACATGTAGCCTAAGTGCTGTGGGCCTACACTCACTCTCCCTAGTCTACAGAACCTCCGATGACTGGATATTACAGCTGCGTAAAGACTATTTATGTTGACTAGTATGATAATACCTGTACCTGGATTAGGTAAATTCTCAATAATATTTGTTGACCCTTTTCTACCAGCCGTCATAATGTTTGCTATTATTGAACTTCATGATGAACACATGATGGGATTCCATATTGTGTAAAGGTAAACAGTTTTTTTTCTGTTGAAATTATCCGTGTGTTAGTCGACCCGGGGCTTTGTTGTATTCCCTTGATGGGTTTGGAAACCGTATTGATGTTGTGTGTTGGAGAACATTTTTCGGAAGTTTCCAAAGGATTGAAACAACTCCCTAACTCTGCCCTAGCTGCTTCGTGAACATACTTCTAAAGTCACCAGGCATAATATGAACAATATATAAAAAAATGTAATATATAATATAATATGATATGAAATTCACATGAATAGGCATGTACTACCTAGCTACCTGAAGACAAAAGGTCCTCAACCTTCAATAAAACCAAAGTAACGTTTCTTTATCATGCGTGTCGCATCGGCTTGGGAGCCAACTTATTTTTTCGAACGTTAATTTCAATTTTGAGATAGCTTCCAAGATATCAATTGTATGGTATGAGATATGGTGTGCGTACAATGCTCAAAATAACTGATTGATGAAGATGGAATATCTTCACAATTATCACATTATGTGTGATCATTATTTGAGACATTCGAATGGATATAGTAAATTATCCTTAAAATATACATTTGGGTATGCCATCTCAAACTTTCCTAGAGACATATAAAAAAACAGTATCCAGTGAATTGTTGCACAGAATTATACGTATAAACCTTTCTTTCGAATCACTGGTGAACACCATATGGAAATCCGTTAAGTAGTTTTTGAGTTGATTGTATTAGACAGACAGACGCAGTGGTGGACTCCGTTTCACAACATTTTTTTTTCGCTTCTTGGGAGCCGGCTGACACAGATAGATTTTGCTAGAGGTGTGCCATATTCTTCTTGGCATGATTTGAGTTGTCCTGAAATGGTTGCCTCTTGTGATCCATAGCACCACATTCGAATCAAATTTGACGAGCTGTCTCTGTCGCTTTGTTATCGTGACTGCAGTTGAGATTTTTGTTGTACGAGTACTGCTTTGTGCAGCCCTGTTGTTTTTTGGGGTACCACCTTCCAAACTCAATAGTGAAAAAATGATTTGATCTAAAAACTAACAAAAACGTTAAGCAGTATAATTTTTCATAGAGTAATTCCATATCTATTTGTTGTTTATGGTCAATGAATCAAAGCAAAATTCTTTCTCACTTCAATGGGCAGTGTCCAATGAGTTCTTCTTGGTTTTCTTCTTGGACGGTCCCTTCATGAAGGTTTTTCCAGGTATGTTTACCGGTACTATTCCCAATTGGGATTCCATACCAAAGTTTTTGGTACCCCTGCAGCTGGTTCAGGGCCTATATATGAAGCTGATATCTGTCACACTCATTATCTTTTTTATTTCACATGATATCTGAGAATCCTAGCACCAAATGATCTTGAAAAAATAATAGATAACGCCAAAAGAGAGTATTACCAAGAACAGATTAAAAAAAATGGGAATAACTCTAACGCTATGTGGAAAACCATAAATGAAATATCTACAAGAAGTAAAGGAAGAGAAATTGATAAGATAGTAAATAAAACAGGATACATACTGGAAAACAAAAAAGAAATAGCGAATGAGTTCCTTGACTATTTTACTAATGTTGGTAAATCATTGGCTGATAAAATAGATAAAACGCAACTCCGTAACTTTCCAAAAAAAAGCTTATGTAAGTCATTTTTCCTAGAAGAAACAACTGAAGATGAAGTTCTCAAAACAATATTTGATTCAAAAAATAAAAAATCTCCCGGAATCGACGGTATCAGAGCTGAAACCTTAAAGACGATAGCACATGAAATCGCAAAACCCCTCACTTATATAATCAATACAATGTTCTCAACAGGACGGTGCCCAATAGCATTAAAAACGGCCATTATCAACCCTATATTCAAAAAAGGAGATAAAACTGACGTGTCAAATTATAGGCCAATATCGCTCATTTCAAATTTGGCCAAAATTTTCGAAAAAATATTAAAGAAACGTATTGTTACCTTTATGAAGAAAAATAACATATTGTCTGATCGCCAAATCGGATTTAGAGAAGGCAGGTCCACGGAGGACGCTATAAGTCATCTAGTTGATAAAATCAGCCAATGCATAGATAAAAAAACACCCAGTTTATGTATTTTCGTGGATCTAGCAAAAGCCTTTGACACAGTAAGTCACAGCCAACTACTTGAGGTACTAGAAAGGATAGGATTCAGAGCGTAAGGATAGATAATCAATACAGTGATTCTAAGACAGTCAATTATGGAGTTCCCCAAGGAACAGTTCTAGGTCCAATCCTTTTCAATATTTACCTCAATGATTTATACACCATGTTAGTTAAAGGCGATATTATCAGTTTCGCTGATGACACTGCGGTGCTTTATGCGAAAGAAACCTGGGCTGAGCTGAAAAGGGTTGCGGAGGAAGACTTTAAACAAATCATACAATGGTTTGATAGTTGCCTGCTAACAATCAACTTTGAAAAAACCATATTTTCACCTTTCACATCATATGAAAAATTCCTCCCTAAATATAAATCACTCAGAGTTATTTTGAACAATGGCAAAGAGGTCAATGTGTCCGCAGCACAGAATACTAAGTACTTGGGCATAATCATTGATCCACATCTCAAATGTCCCTGTCCACCAGCCTCCATAGTTTCTCGCAGCTTTCCCAGAGCAATTTCGATATCGCTTTTGGATTCGTCAATGCCTCTATGCAGCCTGGCAGCCTGTAAAAATATTGGTCTACACATATCTGTTTTGTCCGATCTCAAGTAGGTTTTCAGTCTGACTCTCAGGAGAATGGAGTAGAAAAAGTATGAGTATTTTTTTGAAACCACGTAATTTTCCCACTGTTATCGTAATAATCCAAATTCATATTTCGTTGTTTCAGATACGAGAGAGACAGGTTTCGTGAATGCCATTGTAGCAGCTGGAATAACCTTCCAGGTGACAAGAGCTTGTACCAAAGGTGAGCAGATAGGATGCTCTTGTTCCAAGAGGAAGAAGAAAAGAAATAAAAAGAAACATACCAATCCTCCCTTGCCTGAAGGGGATTGGGAATGGGATGGATGTGGGGAGAATATCGAATTCGGTATCAAAAAGTCCAAGGATTTTCTGGATAATAGGTACAAGAAGAGAAGTGATATGAAAACTCTAGTTAAGTTACACAACTATGTGGCTGGACGAATGGTGAGTTGAAAAGTTCATTTCACTTCACTACGAGTTACTTGTTGTATCTAACTCTTGAAATTTTTCCATAAGTGAATTTGTTTAGATAGAAACAATTCTGTATTGAGATTCATATGTAATATTTTCATTCTTCATTATATCGTAATTTTATTCAGTATATCACAGTATTCTCAGGGATTTCTCAAATTGATATCCAGGCTAGAGATTAGTCCAAAGGTCAGTTGGAGCTTTTGAACAGCAGGGTTTGAACGCTCTCTGTAATGAATGTCAAATGCAGACCAGTGACTGAAATTAGGTATTGCAAATCTTGTGAAAGTCATCATCTACACCATTACGTATTAGCTGTCGCATTTGTTTCTAACATAAATACAATTTTCTAGGAAATGTCATTCATAATATTTTCAATTTTGAACGTAGGTAATTCAATTTTTCATCTACATGTGAAATATTTATTTGATAACACTTCCAAAATACAAACCATGAAATTATAAAACAACAATAAAAATTAATTGGCGATCCGGGGCGACATCGTTGATTTCAGTGGGGCATTTGTTTTTACAGCTGCAGGAAAACGCGGATAAACCTGCAGCACCACATCATCTGAAGAATTCGATCTGCCAATGTCCTCTCACTCATAAAACAAAATGTGGGGTGTCTCCAGAGGCTCCAATAAATTCAATACATTGCCAGAACACTTAGTGACACGACTATCGTCAAACTTAAACCAGTCAGTTTCGTCTTTGATCAAGGCGTAATAATGACCAAATTCAATGTCAGAACCACAGTGAACGATAACTGCATGAATATTATAATAGTAATCTGCTAAAGTGAAGTGTTCATCTATTTCGAACCTTCGTAAAAATTTAGTGCTTACGTCAGAGGTTGAGTCATGTTTGAAGACCATCAGTGTTATCATTAGATTGAGTGGTGCCACAGCTATACTTGATTTCTTATAACAGTCAGTTAGTTTGGCGCATGTTAGACAATACAGTCGATCACCATCTGTTGAAAGTTCCATTTTCAGATTATTCAACTGGTTATTAGTTATATTAGGAAACGCTAGGTAGTTGAAGTTCCAGAAATTCACAATCGTTTTTGCTACCTCTTGAACATTTGCTACAAAGTGAACAAGTGAGGATTTTTCCAGCAAAAATTCACAAACACAAGACGAGATGGACTGTACGGAATCATTCAATCCAGAGCGGTCAGGAGTATTGATTCTGCCATTGTTTTGCTTACGAGGAGTATTCAACAAGAGACCTATAATTCGGAAAAATCCCCTTGTTGTCGTAATGAGTATCTAGTGGACTTCAAAGACTGCAGGAAATCGGTTGGAAGAAAAGATGATACATTCTTACGAAACTGCAGCTGCATGAAGAGGTGTTTGAGTTTGGTGAATAAGTAGGAAACATTCTCGTTCCTATCCTGTTACCCGCAGGTGCGGGGTTGGGTGGTTGACCGATAACTTTACTGGGTGAGTGCCGTGTGGTCTGCACCGGGGGACTGTCAAACACCCCTAAGAGAGAGACAGTGATCCCCCGCCACTCACCCGCAATGTTCAAATATATGGAAGATACCCGTTGGTTTTAGCTTTCTTCCTTTAGAAAACTGGTGAAATTACTGAACTTTCGAACAAAGTATACCATCTGTGTACCATTTCATTGAAAATGGGGACAGTTAAATAGATTAGGATAAGAGGATTGCTTCGAATTCTTTGGGTTCTTGTTGAATAGAAGAATCAATACTCCTGACCGTTCTGGATTGAATGTGTTTGTGTTTGTAGATTTTTTGCTGGAAAAATCCTCACTTGTTTACTTTGTAGTGAATGTTCAATCTGACTATTATAGGAAAACAAATATAGTTGAGGCACCAGTCAATCTGATAATAACACTGATGATCTCCAAACATGACTCAACCTCTGACGGATGCACCAAACTCTAACGAAGGTTCGAAATAGATAAACACTTCAATCTAACAGACCACAATTATAATATTTATGCAGTCATTGTTCACTGTGATTCTGGCGTTGAGTCTGGCATTGGTCACAGACGAATCAGGCTGGTTTGAGTTTGACGATAATCGTGTCACTGAGTATTCTGGCAATGTCTTGAATTTATTGGAGCCTCTGGAGACACCCTACATTTTGTTTTATGAAAGAGAGGGCATTGGCAGAACAAGATCTTCAGATGATGTGGTGCTGCAGGTTTTTCCGGGTTTTCCTGCAGCTGTTGTTTCATACTTTCATGACATGTGTTACTTTCTTCTTCAATATATACTGTACTTGATGTTACTTTTGCCATAATTCTCAAATCGCTAGGCATATACTTATTATGTTCGAAAGCTATATATGACATGACATTTAGAAAATATTCACGCCAATCAGTAACTTGTATACCGTAGAAATGATTTCGAAAAACCCAATGTCCAAATATCTTTTTTTTGCGAAACATTTTTTGCTAACTTCACTCTTTTGCCTCAGACTTTCGATAGGTCAATGTGACACATATTATAATATAAGGACTATATTGTCACATATTGTATCAGAAGGTACCTTTCTGAGATTGGAATTTCCCATGAAATACAAATTAATGTTGGAATGACTTTGTCTTTTTGAAGTTCACTCGTTTTTCGAACTCTTCTCAGTTTTATTAACAATATTAAGGGTAGCTTGATTCGACTGGAATGTACTGCCACATATTCATCAATATCCAAATATATTCATCGGCAGATGTTAAAAGAATTACCTGTTTTCAAAATTCACAGACGGTTTGCTACAATTCAAAGAGATCGTTTGTAAAAGGTTTATTAGAACAGTCATATTTTGTAATTTTAAGTGACTGCGGGTCATTTCAACGGTATTCACAGACAATGATTATAAAATTTTTTCTCTTTGTTCCAGGCCATCAAAAACCACATGCGAACAGTCTGCAAGTGTCACGGTCTGTCGGGATCCTGCACACTGAAAACCTGCACCAGAAAAATGCCAACTTTCAGAGAAATTGGTAACCGACTCAAAGAACGCTTTGACGGCGCCGCCAAGGTCATACCAGGCAACGACGGGCAGAGCTTCATGCCTGAAGGCGAAACCATCAAGCCACCAGGTCGCGTGGACCTAGTCTACTCGGAAGAATCCCCCACTTTCTGCGAACCAGACAGCGCGCTGGGATCTTTTGGAACCAAGGGGAGAGTTTGTAACGATACTTCTCAAGGAGAAGAGGGCTGTGGAATTCTTTGTTGTGGGCGAGGCCATAAGCCGCACAACGAGGAAGTGAAAGTTAACTGTAACTGTACGTTCAAGTATTGCTGTGAGGTTCACTGTGACGTTTGCAAGGTGGTCAAGAAGATAAATACTTGTGAGTGATGTTCTGTGGAATAAATTTTGTGATCATGGACTAATGAGTTAGTAGCGAGGCTAATAAGTTATAGTTTTGTAATGAGCTTTGATATCGGTTATAATGTTTAGTAAATTATTTACAAACAATGTCGTTTCATTTCTCCACATCACCAACTTGTTCATTATGTTCATCCACCTTCAAATGGAATGATTCAACAGAAATCTTGAGTTTCACAAACTACGCCTAACGATTTGATCGTCACAAATTTCATGTTTCGTAATCACAGTAGATTTTTCGTTGTGAATTCCTTTCCGTTTTTTCTTTAAAACAAATAATGTTCTGAGATGTTTTTCAAGTACGACAGGATAATTCTCAAGGAGGCGCTCTAAGAGCGATGCCTGTGCCTGTGCAGGAATTTCATTCCACATAAACGAATTTCTCCGAATGAAAGAGTTCTTAAACAGTAAACTTCGAAGTGTACTGAAATAAACCTTAAAACGATGAGCAGCCACAGTCCGTCGCGTATTTCTGATAATCGCTTTTGGTGGAATTAAATATGCTAAGTCACTTGAACACTTTCCGTGAAAGTATCTATACGAGAGAAGCACATATCTAAGCTTTCATCGATGTTCCAGACTATCAATGTTGCAAGTAATATTTGTGTCTCCAGTCAGGCGAATGACGCTTTTCTAGATGGAAACCAACAGCCTCAGCGTATGGTTACAGGTGGAGCTCCATACATGACGACAATACCCTAAAGAAGATCTGATTTTTATAAAGCATCAAAAGTTGTGTGTAAACTTTTCTGGTGCAGAAACGAGTTTCAGCGACATGATTGTGTGAAGTTATATTGATGTCCATTTCAACTCCCAACTAATCAAAGCAGATAGCGGAATAGTCTGTCCTGATATTATTATATCTGGTTCGCAGACATTTATCTTTTTGGAGAAAACCAATGCCTGAATTTTCGTGGCATCAAATTGAACCTGGTTACTTTTACCCCAGTTTTAAATCACCTCTAGGTCCACATTAAGATATGCAATCTCCTGCTGCTGGTGAAGATGTGCATCCGCAGCCAATGTTCTGGAATCCAAATGAAATGACGAGACAAGTGTGAGGTTGTCAGTAAAGCAATATAGAAAGATGGTTGGATACAATATAGATCGCTGAAAAACACCAGAATTGATGGTTAAAGTATACGAGAGATATCCGTTGACGGCCACTTGCAGGGAACCATTGGTTCAGGAAGCTGAAGAACCATACACAAAAACAACCCAACAAGCCATAGCTTTGAAATTTGGCCAGCAAACGCTCACGTCACACAGGGTCAAAGGCCTTAGAACTATCAAGCACTGCATTAGTTAGTTTCTATCTTTCAGTTTGCAGGGAAAATATTTGTATGCCAGGTTGGCTGAAAAATTCCGAATTCAAAGTTGTGGATCATTAATAGACGCCCATATCGTGGAAGTCTTTGTCTTGCAGACTGAGGTTATTAGCTCGGCGGTACCTATTATCGATCTATTGTTCAAAATTATGGTCATCAGCTAACTCAGCTTGGAGCACTATCAAAAAATGGACTGCAAATAAAACTCCCATCCGTGATAGTTATATGAGTACGCCATGTTGACACCTTCTTAATTTTTTTTATTGGCTCAGCTAATTTTCCGACTAAAGCAATTGCATCAAAGTTTAGCCAGCAAACCCCTCATGACAGACATAATAAAATGCATTAGAATTATAAAGCGCAACAGCTCTGGACTCTCCATGTTTCTCGAATGCGTTATTTCAAATATTTGTGACAGGTCGCTTGTTGATATTTGTTTTCGAATGCCATATTGATGATCGCTCAAGATGTCAAAGCTTTCCGAAGATTCAAGAATATGGTGGTTTGCGCATTTCTCCATAAGTTTGATATCACCAATAGCAAAGCAAATAGTCTATAGTTATTTGAAAGAGTTTCCGTACCCTTTTTGGGAATAGGCTGAACTCGAGCAATCTTCCAACAAGATACCTACCTTGTAAAAGATACCTACAGATTATACAAATTGAAGTATTCAAAAATATCAACCAGATGATTCTCTCCAGCGTCAAAGTAATTAAATGTTGTTATACCGTACTTACATAGTTTATTGTGATATACTTCAGGTTGGGTTCATAAAATCGCAGAACACATGTAAATAATAGCGAAAATCACAATAAACAATATTAATTAATTAAAGAAACATGTTTTCGAATAGACAAAGTTATTCGAAGAAGAAGATTGATGAAAACATAACGACTGTTCCATAACAAATAGTGAAAGGAAGACAGAAGGACACTGCAATTTAATTGTAGAGGACAAAAATTGTGAAAAAAATAGCGCGGTAGTAAAAAAATATATAAAAATAATGGGGATAATGAGCAGATGTGATATGCGACGAAGGGCAGAATCATTTTGTGTGAGGATCATTGTTTTAAAGCATAAAATGTGTCTATAGTCAGGATCCCGTAGACAGAATATTTACTGTTTTAGTGATAAGGCCCATTTGTGGCTCAATTATTGAATCAATATCATTTAGGGGAAGGAGCGACCTGAAATTTTCTGTAGTTCATAGGCTAGTATCATGATTTCGTATTTTTTCGAATCTGATACAAGACAAAATCTTAACTGATGAAGGTTCTTGTTACGACTTCCATAATGGTGCCATTTGCCGCACACCTCGTGATATCCGAGCCTAATTCTGAAAACGAGATGATAGGTTCCAGTCTGCAAAAAAGCCACCTAGGTCACTAGTGGCTTTTCTTCAAGGTCTTTGTTTTGTGCCATTGCACAAAACAAAGACCTTCGTGCTTGTATGATGAAAGAGCTACGCTAGATCCTCTTTCGGAATTATTCACAATTTTTCTTGGTAAACCTTTGCGATTCGATCTTATGGTACCACAAGCATATATTCCATCGTTCAAAAGATTTACCATCAATGGAATACTAAAAAAAAATTATCAAAATAGATGAAGTAATTTTTTCCAACTGAATCCTTAGTCAAGTCGGTTACAACTCGTTCACCTAAATTTAGTTCTGGATTACTACCAATTTTTCCTGTGTACACTTGGAATTGACACACATAGCCATATTCGTCAGCTCGGACCCAAATTTTGAATCCTCATTTGATGGGTTTCAATGGAACATATTGTTTCAATACAGAACGGCCTTTGAATTTGACCATACTTTCATCTATACTTTGATGACGCGTAGGTCTGTATGTGGTTTTGAATGTTTCGGAAAGCGTATCCAGCACAGGTCTGATCTCATACAATTTATCGTAGTTATCATCACCCCGTCTTGGCATCATATGGTTGTCATTTGCATGAATATGGGGAAGCAGCAAGCTGAAATGTTTCAATGGAAGAAATGAACTCATATATTCATCTCTCAATTGAATGTTACTACTCCAATAATCTTTATATGAAGGTTTCTTCGTGATACCCATCATTATATTAGCGGCTATGAATTTTTTTCATTTCTGTGATAGTCGTTGGCTGGAATGGGTTTTCAGCTTGGGTTGAAAATAAATTTGTCTGAAACACTAAATGTTCGAATAAAGTGAGTCTGACTCTGAAGATCCACCATCTTCCCGTTCGAGTTGTTCAAACTCATGTTCCTCCTCAGAATCATCATTCGACCTATTCATATCACCAATATTCAAAAGGGAACAATCGCTATTTTCCGTTACATCGACATTCATTTCAATGGCTTGAAATGAACAAGTTGGAATATCACAGATGCTAGATCGATCATTGGTCTTTCAGATCGATTCCAGTTTCGCTCTCAAAACATTTCACTGGAGCCAACTCTGTGTAAGTCAGGTCTTCACTACTATCTGAATCTAAATCTGATAGCTCAGACTCTGAACCCGAAGGTAATTCAAATCCTTCCATAATTTCATCATATGAAAAATCTTGAATATCATTGATAGATAAAACAGTATTTCTTCTAATTTTCTTAATTTTCATTGCTAACTATGATTCACTCTGAAAACGAGAAAAAAAAATTATCATTCAGAAAGAACCAACTTTTCCGTGATGAACATATCGAAAGCAATCATATAGTATAGGTATATGCAAATTAGGTGCAGTGGTAACTTTAGGTACCACTTTCTAGATGGTCACAAAAAATAGACTGAAGTGTGGATTACGATTCACTCATTTCATAGTAAGTGGACTATGATAACATAAATTATATCCTCGAATTACACTCACCTGCAAAAACAAATCCTAACACAAAACTTATAAATATGAATTTATGCGTGAAAATACCGGCTAACATCACTTCCCTTCTTTCAAGTTGTATGAAAGAAATGTTTACAGTCCGAATTAACCCGAACAAAAAATATTTCGATACGAATACATGCTTGAGATCACAACCGAACTGGTTGCAAAACAATACCACTAGCACGGAAATGGTAAATAAATTCGAAAAAGGAGATACCTAATAGATACCACGACAACCCAAAGGGTTAAGGTTCACATGCAATTTTGCGCCCAAATCAGCACCACCCGGCAAGTGGCAAGTTCAGGCATTCAAATAATTCTCAGTTGATATAGTTAGTTTCCCTCTTTCAGATTGCAGGGAAAATATTCGTATGCCAGGTTGGCTGAAAAATTCCGAATTCAAAGTTGTGGATCATTAATAGACGCCCATATCGTGGAAGTCTTTGTCTTGCAGACTGAGGTTATTAGCTCGGCGGTACCTATTATCGCTCTATTGTTCAGAATTATGGTCATCAGCTGACTCAGCTTGGAGCACTATCAAAAAATGGACTGCTAATACTTGTATATTCAGACCAGGCGCACCAATTTATTTTTGTTAATTTTTATAAGTTCACCTTTATTGAAAAAAAAATAAGATTTGAATATTATACATGTATTTCATTCGTCAGTTTTCTTCCAAAGGTGGATGCAGACTTTTGTTCGGAGAAGTTCATCATTGCTTTGAAATGAAAGGAAACATATCTGCTTTCATTTTTTCTTTGATAGTTTCCCTAATATGAAGATGAAGAAGTAGAAAGTCAAGAAGCGTGCTCAATCATTGATGGACTATACTTAACACTATAAAATGGACCATCATCTTTTATTTGACTTTCCTTTCTTCAAATCATTAATTCAGAGA